ACAGCATAAATGAATGTAACATATCTTAAACTAATATTCTATGACAATATTTAAAATACTCTGGATTTGTGACTCAGGCTGAGGAATGAAACTGTGTCATAGAAACCACTGAATTCCTGTGATGAATGGCACACTGATCAAAGAGCTGTAGGTGAAGAAAGACATGGCTCTACTATTTAAAATCAACTGAAACAGAACCTAATCAGATGAAATTTTTCAGGAGCTTCCCTTGGCTTTAAAACAAAACTAAAGAGAATAAATATTTAGTGAAAGAAATATAGCAAACTAAACATACAAAGAGAACTCAAGAAGGGAGGGCATTATGATTGTGAAAAAACATTCATTCCCCCAAACCATATATGTAAAAGTCAACTTTTCAAATCAACTGTATATTACATGAAACCATACAAAACTGTCAATGTTTTTACATTCTTAAATACAAATTAAAAACACAAGTAGATGTTTATTATTCAGTTCACTGTTTCCATGACATTGCTTTTCTAGTCCTATTCCCTATCTCTCCCCATTCATTGGACTATATTCTAGTTCCTTTGCTGGTCATTCCATCTCTACCAGACCTCTGAATGTTAATTCCCTAAGGTCTGGGTTCTGCCTCTCTTTCCTAAGTATTTACATAAAACTTATATAGAAATATCTTGTACATAATGCTCAAATTTATATCTCCATCCCAAATTGTAGGGGAAATGCTGGCCACGCCTACTTGGAGGCTATCACAGGTGACACAGACCGTGCACAATTGGGCATGGTCAGAGTGACGTATCAAGACTTTATATATGAGGGTCGCACACATGCAGCTCTCTCTGTTCCCTGACCTGCCTGGTTGTACAGGACTGAGTCCATCGAGTGAGTGCTTTCCTAATAAACATCTGCTCATCAAACTTGCTCTGACTCCATTTTGATCTGCATTAATTGCGTTTCACCATACCAAATTTTCTAATTACTAGTTTTAGGTATATAATTGATAACTTGCTTTTCTTGTCAGCCAACTTATCCCAGTCATACCAAACATATTGCATTATGACTCAAGGCCTTGGTCATTCTATAAATCTACCTTTCTCTCTTTACCATTTTAACAAATGCTAATTCAAGCCACAACTCATTAAGTCAAAATCTATGAGTCATCCTCAACACCCTTCAAACTGTGACCAATTTCTGGTGACTCTAGAGCAGTGGTTCTCAACCTTCCTGATGCTGTGACCCCTTAATAGAGGTTCTCATATTGTGGTGACCTCCAAACATAAAATTATTTTTCTTGCTAACCCATATATGGCTACAATTTTGCTACCTTTATGAATCATGATGTAAATATCATTGTTTTCCACTGGTCTTAGGCAATCCCTGTGAAAGGGTTTCTTGGGGTCATGGCCCATAGGCCGAGAACCACTGCTCTAGAGCATTGGTACTTCTGCTTGCTTTTAATTACTAATGCTCAATTGAACTAAAACTCTTGAGACTGGAATACTCCAGGAAATCCAAAGATATGGCCTCCCATGCTTCAGATTTATTATTTATTATCATAATTGCTTTATTTTCAAAAGAATGTTTACAAGTTACTATATTTTAAGACAGTACAGTATACATCAGAGACTAAATATTGGATATAAACCTCCAATAAAGTTGAAATGAATCAATACTGGGTCAAGATACTTTTTATTTGTGTATGCATTTATGTGGGAGATGTGATGTGTGTGTGTGTCTGAGAATATGTGTCTGTGCACTCAGAGACCAAAGTGTATGTCTGTTGTGGGATATTTACACACTGTGTGAGAGTTTATTGCTGTGATTTGTGTAATAAAAAGCTGGATGGCCAATAGTTAGGCAGGAGGTAGATGAGAAACTTCTGGGCAGAGAGAGAGAGCAAGTGAGAAAGAGGAGATGAACCTAGGTGCACAGGAGAAGTGAGGAAACACTGAGAGGAAATAGGATGTGCAAGATGGAAGATAAGTAACACCTCATGATAGAACATAGATTAATATAAGCAGGTTAATTTAAGTTATAAGAACTAGTGGGACAACTGCATGATAGAACATATATTAATATAAGCAGGTTAATTTAAATTATAAGAACTAGTGGGACAAACCTAAGCTAAGGTCAAGCTTTCATAACTAATAAGTCACTGTGTCATTATTTGTGAGCTGGTAGCCCAAAGAAAAAAATTGACTACATGTGTCCTACCCTGTCACTCTATAACTTATTCCTTTGAGACAGGGTCTTTCATTGTACTTTTGGTTAGGCTAGTTAGCTACAGAGTTCCCAGGCTTTGTCTCTGCTCTCAACTCTGACCCAGTACTGAGGTTACAGTTAGACATAGCCACGGTTAACTTTTATCTTGATCCTAGGAATTAAAACTCAGATTCTCGTGCTTATTCAACAAATGCTATTACCAGCTGAGTCAATCCACCAGCCTACATGATACTTCATTAGTTGGAACTTTTCAATGACTTCTTGCCCCACACTGAAAATGATATAAGCTCCTTGATATTATCAAAAGTCAAAGGTGGGACAGATGGCTCTTGGTTAACTCTTGTACTATTCTCTATATCTGCACTATGGTCATGTTGGCTCTCTTCTTATTCTTCCAATAAGGCAATGTCTTTCCTGCTTTTAGTCCTTTCTTCAAAATAATTTGTCTGACTGGGAAGCATTTTCTCCAACATTCACCTCAATTCTTCACTATCTCACACTTTAATGACAGAACTTGGAGACACTCAATTTATGTCTTAGTGAATTACAAAAAAATTATCTTTGAAATCCCAAATGACATCAAGAGCCTTATGATAATGCCCTGAGTCTGTGGAAGATTGTTAGGTATTTTTTCCATTAATAAAGTAAAGGGTGAACGAACTCCACTGTCATGTACTGACTTTAAAGGTAATATATTCTATGTCTAGTGATGAGGACACTAAGATCTAAAAATAACTAAGTTAATTTGCCACATCACAATAAACAACATATAGCGTTTAATTTTCACTAATCCTCTTTTTCAAACAGGATGCAGAGGTTGTTGGCTTTTGAAATACAACAAGCTGGATTGTTTCAAGGAGGCAAAGATAAACATTTAGTCAAGAAAGTAATTCAAAATGCATATATTAGTAGGTAGGCAGATGACAACAACAAATGAGAATCTGAGCTATAGAATACTAATTTTTCCTTTTATGTTTTGAGATTACAATCATTTCTCCTTCTGTTTCCTCCCTCCAAACTTTCAAATGTACCTCCCCTTGCTCTCTTTCAAATTAATGGCTTCTTTTCTTTAATAAAAGGGAGGAAAAGGCAGCACCCATGAGCGCACGTGGACACACACACACACACACACACACACACACAAACACACACACACATATGCAATCACACACATATATATAGATAGATACATACATACACACATACAGTGGTGTAAAGATCAAATACTGGTATACTAGTAATACAGATAATACTGATCTTATAACAGCAACATGGAGCTGTTCATCCCTTTTGCATTTTGAAGAATAATTTGAGGATAAATGTATTGTGTTCTTTGGAGGCATTTTACAATTCTCCACTGAGTCTTTTTTGCCCTGTGAATTTTACATATATATATGAATACATGTTTTCAAGGATGATCATTGGGTATTGGATAACTAATTGGTGTACTCGTCCCTGGGAAAGACTATGATTTTAGGTATATTTACATTCAGTACCGCAGTTGGGAAGACACTATTCATGAAAATCACTTCTTTTGATTCATAAACCCTAGGTCTTGCAATGTCACAGTATTTTTGTTAGTAAATTGGCTCAGTATCCAATAGAACGAACAAAATGGTCATCCCCCAAGGACATAGTGAAACAGCTGCTGCATGTAGGTTCTAGAGTAAATCTTGACAGAAAGACCTCAAACTAAAGAACCTTTTTCCCCAATTCAAACCAAGCTATTAAGCTGAAATAAATAAGGAAGTCACTATAGGACAAGAAACAGCTGGCTGAGAATAGTGGCTAAGATTTAGACTAAATAAACTACTTCCCAAGAGACCCTAAAAATTAATGTTTGACAGTCTGGGGGTTAAATGGATAATACAGCAAGTAGTTTGGTGGACATGTTCATTTAATTTCTGGGGCAGGAATCTGAGGATTTTCCCAGGAGTCTCCAAAAAAGACTGTAATAAAGAGAACCTAATATTTATATTGTCAACATACCTTATTTAATACCTTCACCATAAATAGAAATAGAACTATTTTAGTTTAAAAAAACATTCAAAACTAGAAAGTCAACAGTAGAAAGTTCAGGAAACATTCATTTATATAGCCTAATTAGGACCAAGTCTGAAAATTTAAATTTCATTCTCTTTTCATAATTAGGCTATGTAGAAACCAGCAGATGTCATAAGTACAAGATACCTTATTCAGCTCACAGAGGATACAACTGAGTAAGAATCTTTTAAGAAGAAAGCTGAAAGAGAATGGTGATTTAACTCTAATAAAAATCGTGCTTATGGAACATTTGCTAAATGGGACAATATGTAATAATGCTTCCAACTCTCAAAACATCATGAAGAATATCAAGCTATCCTCTTTAATAAAAATAGTCAAAAATAGTCAAGACAAAAAGAATCCTTTTTCAAAAGTTATTTCAGTATAATTGATTTTACCTAAAATGACCTCAATCTCTTCTAAGCTAAATTAAATCTCTTGTCATTCAAAAACCCCAAAACCAAAGCATCCAGTTTCAGTCATAAAGGAGAATGAAGTCACATTGTAGAAAAATGAATGCAGGTGGAGATAACAATAGTAAGTAAATTAAAACAGTCTCAGACAGAGAAATATCACATTTTTTTCTTTCACATGTAGATCCTAGACACACACACACACACACACACACACACACACACACACACACTTTTGTGTGTATTGGTCACTGTTTTATTGCTGTGAAGAGATAACATGACCAAGGTAATTCTTATAAAAGGAAGCATTTAATTGTATTTCATTGGGGACTTACTCACAGTTTCAGAGGTATAGTTCATTATCTGTTACCATCATGGCAGAGAACATAGTAACATGCAGACAGTCACTGGATCAATAGCTGAGAAAGACATCCTGATCTAAAGACAGAGAGAGGCATGGCATGAGCTTTAAAACCTCAAAAGTACACCCCTAGTGATTCACTTCCTCCAACAAGGCTATGTCTCTGGATCCTTCTAATCCTATCAGAGTTCCATTCATGATGACTAAGCATGCAAATATATGAGCCTGAGCATGCCATTTTTATTCAAACCACATTTGTACACTGAATTTGAAAATATAAGCAAAACGTGTAGTGGAATAAAGAAGACTATTGGAAGGGTGAAGGGAGAAAAAGCAAAGGGTTTGGGGGAAGATATGTTTAAAGTACATCATATTCTTGTATAAAAGCATCCTTCGGAAACCTAATTCTGGATACAATGAATAAGTGCTAAGAAAAAAGTAATAAAACCAAACTAGGCAAAAGTACATCACTGGGATAAATTGTGGATTTAAAAAGATAATGTCAAAAAAGCTTTAAAAATTCATAACTTTCGAGAGGGAGCTAGGAGAATGCGAAGGGGAGAAGAGGAGGTGTGAGGAGGATATGAGGGAGCAGGAAGTTTGAGTTGGGGGAAGAATAGAGGAGAGCAAGATAAGAGATACCATAATACAGGGAGCCATTATAGGTTTAAAAAGAATTCAGGCACTAGGGAAATATCTGTAGATCAGGAAATATCTGTAGATCTACAATGATGACACCAACTAACAATCTAAACAACAGAAGAGAGGTTACCTTAAATGTCCTCCCCTGGTAATGAGATTGATGACTGACTTATATGCCATCGTATAGCCTTCACCCAGCAGCTGGTGGAAGTGGAAGAAGACACCCACAGGTGAACACTGAACTGAACTGGAATCCAGTTGCAGAGAAGGAGGAGTGATGAGCAAAGTGGTAAAGACCAGGCTGTTTAAACCCACAGAAGCAGCTGACCTGAACAAGGGAGAGCTCTTGGTTCCCAGACTGATAGCTGGGGAAACAGCATGGGACTGATCTGACCCCATGAACATGGGTGTCAGTGAGGAGACCTCAGAAATCTATGAGGCCTTTTGTAGTAGATCAGTACTTATCCCTACGATAGGAATAGACTTTGGGAGCCCATTCCACATAGAGGGATACTCCCTGAGCCTAGACACAATAGGGTGGGCTTGGCCCTATCCCAAAGGATATGACAGATTCTGAAGACCTCTATAGAAGGCCTCCCCTCCCTGGGGAGCAGAAAGGGTATGGGATAGGTAGGGTGTTAGTTTGGGGGGGGCAGTGGAGTAGGGGAGACAGAGGGAACTGGGATTGATGTGTAAAATAATCTTGTTTCTAATTTAAATAAAAATGGAGAGAAAGAAAAAATTCATAACTTTCAGCTCACTGTAGTTGGGTAGATTCTATTTCATTCTTAGGTAGAAATCTATCCAAAACCACATAACCAGAAATAAAGAGAAAGCTTTTGGGGTCAGTGTTTATTTCTATGTTCTATTATTTCTATATAAAAAATTTAGATAATTGGTCTGACAAGAGGGGAGTAAATATTATGATATATCAGCAACTGTTATTTTTTAATTTTTCTCCCTAGATTTTACGCTTTAAATTCTGATGTTGGGATGCATTACTGAGTGTATATGTCTGTGCAGCACGTGTGTGTGTGTGTGTGTGTGTGTGTGTGTGTGTATGCATGCAAGGGGAGCGATTGTTGTACATGCACTTCACCACTAATCTTCATACCCAGTCCTATTGGCTATTTTTAGTGGTACATGTCTTTTACATTGTTGAATTACCTCTTTCTAGGTTATTTCCCTTCAGGGAAGATCTAGGTGAGATTTAAGAAAACTGTAAAGCAATAGTCTCCTGGTAGGAGAGAGCTGTAATCAAAATCTCAGCCATTAAGTGAACAAATAACAAATTCTAGAAAGATTGGGGACAAAAAGGATCCACCAGTTTTTTATACATTCGCATAACTAAACAATATGCATACATATATACTTTTAAATATAATAATTGTCTCTCCTAAGAATGCTCATTTGCATTGCAACACCTGATAATGCATGGTCTCCAGAGACATCACTGTTCCTATATTGGTACCATTCATTTTTTCAATCTATTTGGTAGACTAAATTTCCTTTTTTAAAACCTCTAAATTCAGATCTGACTGTTGGTATTGTTACCAAAGAAAGTAGAATGGGATTATTTTTGAGAGAAATTAACCAGTGGATGATTCAAATATCTCAAAAACTGCTGGGCTCTTACCCAGATCTGACAAGCATTCACCATTGGGAATGTCAGAAGGGAAAAATTCAAAAATTTATTACATCCTGCCAAGAAGTAGAGAATTTAAGCAGATCTGACCACAGAGAAATTTCATCCCTTAGATTCTGGTAGCAAGTGATGGATTCCTAAAGGGCTATAGGAGTAGATAAGAAAAGGTAAAGCAGTAAGAACTTAAAAGAAAGAAAAGTCTGAGAGTTTCTATGATTGCTTATACAGGAAAACTAAAATATCAACTAGCATGTTAATAGCCTTAATGAGAGTGCACCAAGAGTGGAACCATATTAAAATATACTAGTAACAAAGAACATATGTTACCATATAAAGATACTGTTTAAAATAGCAACAAAGCACATGAGATATGTGGTAGGAAACTTGTACTATATTCTAATAAAATTACAAAATACAGCTATATGAAGACACTAATAAAAAGATAAATAAATGGATAGCAGTACAGTCTGTCTTTTGTCATTAAGTCAATCTACAGATTCAATTGAATCTTCATTTTAAAAGTCCAAGTAAGTTTTTAAAAATATCTAACAAATTGTGAGGGTAGAGTTGTGACGTGGCAGAACAAAACTAGCCATGATACTTATGATAAAAGACAAAGTATAGAAACTCAAAAGACATGTTAAAATCTTATATATAACATCACATTTAACATATTATAGATAACGATGTGAAGAGGGATAGGCCAAATGCTACAGTAAAACAGAGAGCCTAAAACAGATTCATGCTTAAATAGAAACTCAGTATACAGCCACAGTCACTAGAATTGGGGAAGTATTTGGATGATTGAAAACATATACAGAAATAATTGGTTAGCCATATAAAGAAGTGTATTCCTTTTTTCTGTCTTAGTTTGTTTCCTGATGCTGTGATTTAAAAAAAAAGACATTGACCAAAATCAACTTGGGGAGAAAAGGGTTATTTTGGCTTGAATATCTTCAGACATAGCCCAGTGCAGGAGGCCAAGGCTGGAGCTGATGCAGAGTCCATGGAAGACTTCAACTTACTGGCTTGCTCTTTGTGGTTTACTCATCCTGCTTTCTTATACACCCTAGGTCCAGGTGCTCAGAGATGGTACCACTACCCACAGTGGATGCCTTGCACATCATCATCAATCAAGAAAACGTCCCATAGGCTTGCTTACAGACCGATCTGACTGGGGCATTTTCTCACTTGAGGTTCCTGTTCTCAGATGACTCTAGCTAGGATCAAGTTGAGAACAAACTAATCAACATGTCTTCCTTAACACACCTTAAAGATCAACTCTACAGAATTTAAGGATTTAAATGAAAGAGAAATTATCTTGAAATACCTTTGAAAAATAAGAGAGATTGGGCTGGGGCTCAGTAACAGAACACTTGACTGCCATGGATGAATAACTGAGTTCCCTCACTCCAAAGTTCTATATACCTACAAATAAAAATATGAACATGACTAAGTAAAGCAAGTATCCCCTTTTTTGAACACTAATAGGAACAATAAAATAATGGTTGTAAGAATTGGGATTGTGTAAGTTTGAATTTTTGCAATAAGCATGATTTATACTGCACATAATAATTACCCTAAAATATGAAATTACACAAATGTTTGGAAGTCTTTAAGTGTGTTGGCAAATATATACATAGATGACCATTTATCTCCAGGCTCCACTCATCTTCTGAAATGGAAGGAATTCTCTGGGTTTTGAGGCATGCATAAATTCCTGTCCCTGCCATTTCATCTTTTTAGAGCTGCTGGGGAGTTCTAACCCTTGGTAGATTTTGACTCTTGGTTGATATATCCATAAGCAAGGTTACTTTTCCCTGTCAAGTCATTCTACCTCAAAACATGTTCTAGATCTTAACAAGTTCAAACAGAACTATTTCTTCTTACAAATTGTGCCCAGTCATCTTAGTTCTTCTTTGAGTAACATTTCTACTTAAAATCTTTCACAGATATGAAAATATGTAATAATATACATACTTCAAAATATGACAGGGTCTGGGAGTTATTGTTGTATAGATAGTAATTATTGATATGACTTTTTTTCAGTGGTTTTGGACCATCTGGAAACATACATAGAGGTTGGGCATCATCACTTACAGGTCAGTATGACTGTAAATAAAATTAGAACAATGACTGGACACCATTATGTGACTTTAACTATTTAGCTATGAAATATGTGTTTCCTGCCCTACCTGATGAGTTTCAATCTTGTGTTCTCATCATTATCCTATTAGGTTCTCAACTACAAGGGAGCTTTGAAAAACAAGCTGCTTGGAGATGTTTCCCATGTATGAAATACACACACACACACACACACACACACACACACACACACACACACACACACACACATCTGTTAATAAGAAATTAGTCTTTTCCTCTACATTTTGAGCCTCATTTTAAATAAATTTCATGTTTCTAACACTCACAAATTGCCTCAGTCTTAGAGCCCATTTCAGGGGCTTTAACCTTCAAAGGAGATCCAAAAAGTATTTCAAAAGTCCAACAACCCTAAGAGAAACAGTTTAAAATAAGCCAAATGAAAACTACCCTACCACCTCTTTAAGGGACAAGAGAAAATAAATAAATAAATACACATACATATGTATCTGTATACATATCCACATTGATACATGTATTCACTATTAATGACATTGACATCCAAAATCATTTGCCAGGGTTGAAGTGGAATTATTAGTGTCACTATTGTCAAATAAACCAGATCCCTATGGTGTGAGTCAGGCAAAACTCAAGACTATCCCAAGAGTACAGCCTTCTCAGTCAATTTCTCAGAGAATTTAAGAACTGAAAGAAAACCCAAAGTA